GAACAATCCAAGATTCGGGGCAATCAGCAGGAAACCAAAGTTGTAATTCAATTGTCATGACGTTGAATATTTGGAATCGTTGATTACAACGAGTAGGATCCTCAGAGGCTATATGCCCAGCAACCATTCTATCTCTCTGGTTGAAGATATAGTCCGATTCCTAATCTTAACGCGGCTAAATCCGCTATATATTTTAAACGATTTTGGCGTAAAGCTAAAACTATTCCAAATACATTGATGGTCATTATTACATAAATGAAAACACCTATTAGTATTCAACGCCGTTGAAGATACTTGTAGTGAAGAACTCGCTGCGAAGACTCAAGCTCGTCGTGAAAGGGGATCACTGGGAATAGCCAGCCCTTGGTTGAACCCTGACCGTGTCTCTGATACGCAGCTGAACGGAATACTCGTGAACGTGAGATGCTGGTGGGATAATTGCCCGGACGTGTTCGGCAAGGCCGATCCGCTACAATTGATACACAAATTTATCAACATTTGTATGATTCATGGGAAAAAAACAAAATCTCGTGCTATTGTTTATTAATGTTACTTGCTGTCAATTTGAACTTTTTAGTCTGGCGAGTCTCTTCGAGTGTCTCCAACCACTCTGGCCAGACCTTTCTGCTTGAGCGAGCCTCTATGAAGAAATGTGGCTCGAAAGAGCAAGCTGGGTAGCTTTTCTCATTATCGTTGGTGGTAAGAATGTACATATAGAAAAAAACCACCAACCAAGCCCGAGTACGCGCAGCCTTTATGGCATTTAGTTAGCTGCGCGTATTTATTTTATTACTACGAAGTTTCGTCTCCCCATTCGAAAAGAGATTCGAATGGTTCACCGGTTCCACCGTATGCTCTCATCTTTTTCATTTTCATTTAAGATTGAGTCTGCAGTGCGCTTCAGGTGTGTTAGGTCCATGTGCAATCAAAGAAGCACTTTGATAAACAGAAGCTACTTTCAACGGCCTAATCACTGTATGAGTTTTTGCTCGACTAGATAATAAAGATTGCAAAAAAGCGAAATAAAAGTAACGACCAGGCGCGAAGCGAACATAACTCTAACCAAGATTAGCGATGTAACTCCAACGCCACATAACGGGTGTCGTCCTCCTAAGAAACGCCGCGTATAATATCATATCATCGCTTCTGAGGATTGGCAGAGGCACGAACGAAGGAAGTGCTGGCGAGCCTCTGCCGCATTGATTTTGACAAAATCGGCGATTTGGGTAATACCTTCAATTCCTTGTATATTCAATAGAGTGAAACTTCCCCACTGAGCAAAACATGCCAGCAGTACTCGAGTCCTCTCCGAACCGTACGAGATAGTCACCTATCATACGACTCTCTATTCTACTTGCTTATACTAAATATACCATAAGTGGTAATTTGGCTTTTTGGCTTGGAAGTCTTTCTGTATTTTTGACTTCTTATTATTCTTTTCGTTTACTTTTTCTCACTTTTCTTGCTCCAACCAATGCTTTTAAGCGAGACACCGAAAGATGTCATGATGCTCCTACTCTGATGGTGACACGATAACAACCATAAGACAGATAAAATTCAATTTGATTGAATTGATGATTCACTCACTGAACTGGTGCGCTTTTTTCCGATTTATTCAACATCGGAATCTGGATAATTGCATATAAATTATCACAAAAGGTGACTCCGGGCCCCGACCAAACAACTATTGACGGTACCTCGCTTGAAAAGCTTTTGAAGCTTCGAGACGCGATAGTCAAAGGAGAATTTGAATGGGGAGCAACTCGTATTCCGCCGAAACCTGGGAAGAACGAAAAGCGTCCACTGGGAGTATCATGCTTCCAGGACAGGATCGAGTTTAGTTTTGCTTTTATTTCATTTTGTCACCATGAATGGAGGTCATTTAGTACCCAATGCTTGACAATCTTTTGTTGAAATGATTTATGAATTCGTTCTAGTCTCCGCTCAATGTCAATCGCATCCGTTCTCAACCACCCCCATCCGAACCCCCTTCACCCTCCCCACCTCCGTCCTAGTAAAGGGTTCGAAAGACCATATCCTCAGCACGAGCCAGACACAATCCTCATCCTGCAATCTCCTGCCCCCTCGGAGATTCCAGTCTCTGTCTTCGAGAGGGTAAGCCAGCGCTGCCTGAGGCCAATCGCACCAAGATGATCCCTCATCAGCCGGTACCCATACGGCAACTAAAGCTGCCCGATGCCAATCGCATCTAATGAAAGATCCCCCAGCCGGTACCCCTCAGACGACCTGATTCAACCCTCTCTCCGTCCTCACAAAGAGTCATCTCGTGCCCATTGCCCTCCACCTTGAACAGATCCCCCGAAACCCAACAGAACCTCCACTCGCCTGTCCCCCCTTCACCTCCCCAACTCCATCCTAGTAGAGAGTTTGAAAGACCATGTCCTCAGCAAGAGCAAGGTACAATCCTCATCCTGCACTCTCCTGCCCCCTCAAAAATTTCAGTCTCCGTCTTCGAGGGAGTGAGCCAGCACTGCCTAAGGCCAATCGCACCAGAGTAAACCCTCATCAGCCGGCACCCATCCGACAACCAAAGTTGCCCGACGCCAATCGCATCCAATGAAGGTTCCCCTAGCCGGTACTCCTCAGACAGGCCCGATGCAAGCCTCTCTCCGTCCTCACAAAGAGTCATCTCATGCCCTTTGCCCTCCATCTTGGATAGATCCCCCAATGCAGCGGGCCTTCATCTGCCCTGGCCTACAGCCAGGGCCTATTTGGCTATTTGCCCAGTTCGGCCTGTGGGACCAGGCCGTGGCTTGACCCCACAGGCCGTGTGCTGTTCTAGTCCTGCCCGGTACCACTGTCGGTACCAGGCCAGTCCAGTCCAGTCAGTCAGTCCGCTGGGGGTATACCCCAGCAGTTGTCTGTTTTTCAGGATTCTTCACTTTTGCAGATCTTGGAGTACGTGCGTGTGGAGTTTGTGTCGGAGTTACGCTGTCCCTTCCAGCTCTATCTCTACCTCCTCCTTCGTCTACCCTTCTACTCCATCCTGTCGGACCACCATCCCGGCGGGTCCGGCACACTGGTATCAGAGCAGGCTTTCCTCCCTGCTCCTCTCCCCCACCCACACCACCTATCAGTTGCCACGCGGCTTGAGCAAAAAAAAAAAAAAAAAAAAAAAAAAAAAAAA